TCTGGGGCAAGCACACCGAAAAATCGGTACTCCATCATGGGCACATCGGCTGCGCTTAACAGCTTGTCTGAAACCTGGGCAGAAACCAGACTTGTCAAAGACAAATTTGCAAGCGAGGCCACCTAATTATTAATGTATGCTGCTGCTCGAACCTTTCATATCCAGAAGACCGGCATTGTGGACTGATCAACGGGTCGGTTGGGCACCATGCGGCTTAAACTTAACTCCTCGTTCGTGAAGTTTCTGGTGTGGCAGATGCACCTGACGTCAGCCACGAAAATAACGACACGCGTTTTGGCAATATGAATCTCCTCATGCTCCGAGAAGCATGGTGAAACGGTTGCGTGATCGCAGGACGATGGGAAAGATTTGGTAAGGAAATCATCATAAAGCCGAGCCCACCGCCAGATCGTAGGTCGAATGGCTAGAATGTGATATCTGGGACATCTATGGACGCTGTTGGACCAACTGTTGCACCACGACTCATGAAGTCAACCGTCTAGGTGATGAAGACCTTGCTCACTCAGTAAAAAGAGAGATAGTGCATGAAGGTCGATGTAGCCCTGCCGGAAAACTGGCGTCATACAAACAGAATTGCCAACATGGCAAAGCCGGACCGGGTGTTTTGCAAAATGGCTTTTCAACCTAGCAAACCCATAGAACGGTTCTGGGATGGCTTTGGGAGGGCTCTTGGTGTGCTTCGTGGCCGTCCCATCCAGGTATGCTGCTGCTAACAGTTGGTTTGTCTTACCTCAGCCAAACGACCAGAAGAACGACAGGGTCGTGGCCTCATGCAGAGGCACTGCAGGTGGCCCACCATCTCAACAGCACGGCCCATCTTCTGTCTTCAGCTTTTTGCTTTTCTGTCGGTTCACACCTTGAAAGCAAGATACAAGGCCAACAAGCTGTTCATGCTCTACACGTCAACGGATTTCAGTTCTGGCATATATGTCCATTAGTTTTCTCGAAGTTTGTCTTGCAAGGTGGCACGCTTTTGGAGCCCAGAAAGACAAAGGAGGGGAACCACGCTCCCGGCTCGAAGACTTCGTGAGGTTGAAGGAGTTCCGACAAATGGCCAAAGCTTCGTTGGCGAGGAGACTCATCACCACACCGAGTTCATGTGCAACAAGGTGGTCACGACAGGTTGGAGAAAAAACAAACCATGATAACCAGTGCATGAACATGGAAAACCGACAAGATAGCAGCAGCCACAAAGGATACTGCACGATGCTCGCCGTATTCAAGCTCTCGACGCAACAGAGGCTGAATGTAACAGCACTCCCTAACTCTGCTTCTCATGCGTCACCACTTCCATGAGCTTACATTACTAGGTGTGCCAGCCGGTAAGCATCAAAACAAAGATGCTACCTCGACCGCGACTTGCACAATTACTCAACAGTACCAGTCACACATGGTCAGCCAGGGCAACCAATGCAGTTATATGCAGTTCATACCTGCCCCGCTCTCTGTAAATCGTTGCGAGCCCTTCCCCTCATATCTGTTCGTGGATGAGCTCAAATCCAACCCAAACCCCAGAATTTCATCCTGAATATAACCCTCTGTGGAGCCAGTCAGGCCGAGAACCTCCCATGCCACAGGCGTCTGCTGGAACTTTGTCAGAAACGCCTCGGCACAGACTTGTCGGATCACTTCAGGCTTCGTGTTGGTATGTCAAGACGAGGGGCCTGAATACCCCTACGACATCACGAGCGAATGTACTCACGATGACTTTACGAATTACAATTTAGGGTTCAATGTCTTTCTGGGGACCCAGAAGTCCGTATTCAATGCAACCGACAGCACAGCAACACTGCTCTCTCCAACAGTTTCAAGCATTTGTCCTTAAATTTATTTCTTGATCTTTCTTGCCTTTCCTTCCTTGCAGCCTTCCTGTTTGGGGACCAACGTGACGCAAGCCTAACCTTTGTGATAGACACTCTCGAGCCCAAAAACATCGGATCCCACTAGAATGGCAAGCCACACTCGTAGACTCTTTATCAACAGCTAAGAAAAATACGACATGACTTCCAGCTTTGCAAACAGAAACCTGCTGCTTTCCGAGGCCGATGGAGTGGAAACCTGTAGAAAGCGGAGATAGCATGACTTGGCCCCAGGAAGATTAAAGCATTCGACACACATGTCCGCATTTGGTCAACAGGCAAAGCCGGACTTGAGATAGTGGCGACTTAGTTTTGAGTTTTGTTGAGGCCCATTGGATACAAGATGCATCTCACGAAAAGACACGAATGCACTTCATGAGGCAGACTGGGCTCGATATGTAAATATAAAGCTGACAGCGCGGGAAACAACAGCAATCAGAATAACAACGACCACCCAGGCTGGCTCGGTCTGAAAACTAGGTTAATTGCATCGATTCACTGGGTAGACTTGATGACAGGAAGTCGGTTCACGGAGATGCAACCAGTCAAACAAAAAGAACAAATCGAATACTGCTCATCAGGTTTGTCACATGGAGGGCGGCGCTTCACGAAACCAATTAGGGTTGATGTGAAGCTAACCAGACATACGTGGCTTCGACATCCAATGCATGCGAGATGCCCTGCGCTTTATGACTCAAGGGCCACACTCTGATGCATCACATACGATGCTCGCGTCACGAGGCAAAAACAAACTGGTCGGGGATACCCCCAATGCCTTTCAAGTCGGAGCGGGTTCAGACGGGCAGACCGGGGAAAAGAGGGTTCCCATCAGAAGAAAGGGCACGAAACCGGAAGCAACGAGACTACAGCTCCCGGGGAAACTGGTGCGAAAATCTCGCCAAATTGCTCCAATGAGTCATGGCGTGAGCATCGAGGGTCAGTGTAGGGCAGCCGTGTGAGAAAGCCATGGAAAGGTAGCTGCAAGCAAGGATCGTCAGCTTCCTTCTTGGTGGCCGGATCTGGCGAACTGAACAGTGCCTCCAGGAACACGCAGAGCCGCCAAAGGCCGAGGGTCAGAGTCGATGAGACTTTCAAAGATGCACGTAGCATGTCAGCTCCCTAAACCGAAGCCTGCAGGGCGGACAATGCTTGCTCCATTTCAGCAAGTGCTTGACGTTAAAGTACTTGGCAACCTGAGCCAAGCCCTCCCATTGCAAGCTTCAGAGCTCCTTCTTGCTTGGGTATCGGAACAGCATTAACTGAGGCATGAGCAGCACGGCAGAGACTCCTGACCCCGGCTCGCCAACAGGCGCGGCTTTACCACACCCCCTACGAACATTATCACGACGGCTTGCGCCAGCGTAGCTGCGACAGCACCACAAGGACTTCACACGTCGGGCCGTTGGGGAAAGCATAGGCCTTCGCAGAAAGAGCAATGAACAACTCGACTGACCCTCACCTCCTCTCAATTTAATTTGGACCCTTGGGAGAACAGGCAAGAGCTAAGCAGAAGCTAAGTAACTGCGTCCAACTCCGAAGCCATGCAGAACGATAGCCCCACCCAAAACACCACGAGATGGTACGTTTGCAAGATTGTGAAATTGCCCGTGCATGGAATATTATGGCTCGTTCACCACGAGAGAGCTTTTTGTGACATATTCGTATATCAATCCCAGACGTCTGATCGTACTTCAATCACCCACTACCTACAGCGGTGCTGTCAACTGCCGCTGTGACTTTGCCGAGAGCAGTAGTTGGTGACTTAGCGCATTCCGTCCGCAAATGCAAGTTCTAAGCATCAGACCCGAACTGCACCGATGCGGACTCAACTGACTGAATGCCGAAGGCAGTTTCTTGGGCTCACGTGACAAACCTGCTTGCAGGTGTCAGTCTGCAACTGTCTGGCTGTGTTTTTGCCGCAACTCTTGATGGCTCTAAATGTCCGTCCTTTGTTCCTCCACCCAGAGTCCCAAGCAGTACATCGCATGAAGCCTTCCTCATCTTATCGGCGGGAGCTTGTGCCGGGGACAACTATGCTTTGCTAGGTACAGTGGTGGTGGCTTCAGGAGTGCAAAGGTTTAGGGCTTCGCTACAGTTCAACTGGTACATGTCGGTCGGGCTTAGTCGGCCTGTACACAGCTAGACTGCTCCGCTCAAAATTTGTCGGCAAGGCAGGCTGTGCCATAGGCCAACCGGCAAGACGGCTTTTGAATAAACGCGAAAACTCTGATGCCAAACCATGGCGGCCTTGGCCTTTTTCTTGAGTGTCCAACGATATGCTGCGGTTTTGTCTGTGACAACGCGCTCCGGCGAGGATTCGCAGCTTGAAAGGGCAAGCCCTGATCACAGAGCAGTGTAACAGGATCTTAGCGAGGGCTGTACTCGAGAAGAGACCTGAGTCAGCACAATAATGGCACATGAATTGCACCGGCGTCGTCTTCGCTCTTTTACATGTCAGGCATCCCCTGCAGCCAGAAGCACTCCCTGCGCACGGAGGACAACAACTACAACTTAGATCCGTCGACCGCCCAACCTAAACATCCCAATGAGACCTGAGACGATGATAGGTTTCTCTCGCATTCAATTCTCTGCGGGTTGCTGCCTTTGTGGGAATGCTGGTAGCCTAGAGCTACAAAGTCTTGTGCCCCCATCCATAAGACGATTCGCAGCATGTTTCCTGGACTGGAACATTCAGGAGAACGAAAGCTATGATTTGACTCTTTAAGTTAAGTTTTTCTTGACCGCAAGCATGCGGCAGTTGGGTGAAACCTCGCACGAACAAGCGAGAAGAGCCCTGAACCTCACCACTTTGCACGTAGTTCCTTTTCTTTTGCACTGCAGCCCGCTCAACTTGAAGCTTCTGGGTTCGAAGGGTCCGAAACTCATGGATTCACTTCAGCTTTTCGCCATGAACCCGCACAAGCTGTACATGTACGCTGGCGAAGCTCAAAGATCTGGTTTTGCCATGCCCCTGCGAGTAGTCGCCACTGTAAAACCCGAAGGCATCTGCCCACATGCTCTGCAACCAAATAGCCAAGCACTTCAACCGTGAAAGCGGCTCAACGATCACGACTGCATGGCACCCAACGGCTCATCTCCCCAAGCTCCAGGCAGTGCCCCTCAGCCATGACCTTCAATGAGAAGTTGGATGGCCCGGTCAACACCACCGACTTCTCGCAGACCCTGTGCCACGCGGTCCGCGGAGTGCTTGAATGCTGGCACCTTCGAGGCAAGGGCTCAGCTCTATGTCTCGTGCTTTGCTACTATGGCTTGCCATTTTGCGTCGGGGACTCCAAGGAGGTGCTGGCTTTGGGAGGCCTACAGACATACTATGTACCTACGAGCCTGGGATTCGGGACTGTCTGGCCCCAACTTTGTCTCAGGTGTGGCAGTGAAGACACGGCTGTTGCCCATGATCATGTGCACTGTGTCACTGTGCGCAACAGAAAGCAAGCTCGACGAGCTCAAGTAAGAAGAAATAAGCAAGCAATGCCAGCTTTCAAGCCCCGCCAAATCTTGCAAACGATTCTTGGTTTGCCAACCAGACGACTCAAGCACGCTTCCCACCTTGCTCAGACACCGGGAAAACCTCGGAACCAGCCTTATTGCCTTGGCGGAAATCTTCCAGTGCAATTTCGTCTGACTCTGAGAAAGGACCTGATTAGGTATGAAAGCGAGAATCGAAGAATGTTCGAGATCCCACACAGCTTTAAGAGCCCGGCCCCACCTCCGAAACTTGACGCAAGGCATCACGGACATCCCCCTCATATCTTGCAGCAGCCTCCTCAGACACCGGCCTGAGGAGGCACGGCAGGCACTGCATAACACCCTACAGCTGCTGCCAGAGTGGCTCTCTCCACATGTTAATCATGCCACTGCTCAGACCCATGGCGTTGACAGGAAGCTTTTGGGAGACGTGCTACAGGCTTGTTCAACCTCCTCAAAAACCCGGCTGGCCTGTCCACACAGAGGCCCACCTTCATTCCCTGCGCTTTGGCACCATTGGCTGGCTGATCAGCGAAGCCAGGGCACACCACAAGTGGAGTTCCAGCGAACATGCTTTCCATAAAGGAGTTCTGGCCCCCGTGGGTGACGAAAACCCTGGGCTTCAAACCTTACACAGTTCAACTCGTTCGGCTTCTGTGTCCACGGACACAACAGCCAACTCAACGCCAACTAAGCCCTGCAGCGAAGGATGTCCACTTGCGGCAAGATGTTTCGGCAAAGGGCATTCGCAGGCACCTGCTTCAATGGTGACTTTGCGAGAGCTTGATTCCTGCAACGCCTGCACACCCTTTCTCTCCGATTGACAACAAGCTGACGGTTCCAAGCCAGCAAAGCACGGCGGCAGAGCCCCAACGCAAACTATATTCGAGGCACCCTGGCTTTGTATATTCACTCGCCGCATACCACTCCCATTCTTCGGTCCGGGAGGCTTTACATGACAAGTGCTACGTAAAGCTTGGGGCCAATGCATTTACCCCATGTACCTGCATTTGTTCTTTCACATGTGGACGCATGGTTGATGATTGTTGGCTTGCCCCTATGTTACGCATGCATGTCAACACGTCATCTTGCGAATAATCAACACGTGGACCAATGCAAGACATTCCAAACTGGATCCGATCAGAACCCATTGACTTGTCATACACTCCATATTACGACAAGCAGCTTAAAAGCATCTCACAGCATTCCGATATTCCGAGATTGAATCAAGTCAAATCCGGAAGGCTCAGTCCTTAAAAGCTGTTTGTAATGCACGATCTGCGTCCGACATTCTAGAGCTAATGCTTTCGCATCTCATGACCACGTTCTGTGATCAGTCTTGCATCCCCGCCTGCACACCTTCCAAGGCATCTGCCTGCGGACCGACCGCTACGACGAGAAGAGGGCCGTGGCCCCCACCTGCAATACTGGAAGCATTGACTGTTCAGAAGCTCCCGCTTGTATGGCGGGAGATGAAGGAACGGATGCTTCTCGAATGTCCGCTCTTCACGATTGTGGGAGGTTGGTCGGGTGAGGAGGAACCATGAACGGACCACCTTCTGCAGGATCTCCCAATTCAGCGAACACCGCCTTGAACACAGCTTGGCACAGTTGCTTCCCAGTCATGGAGCTGCCGTCGGTGGCTTCCCATCCTCGGGCTTGGTTTGTCTCGAACCTCAAAGCTCTGCCCCAGAACCAACAAGCCCAGATTCCGTGGTTGCTGCTGTCCCCAGTTATCACAGTGCCCATTGAAACCAGGACGATGTTACGACCTGTGCTGACTGAGCACATTCCAAAGGAAAGGACGTTTTTGGGGGGGTCCGTCGCAGAAAAAATATTCTTCTTTCGCCTGGGCAAGCATGGCATTAGGCCTCGTATCTCACGGTTTTACGTGTTGCGCAGCAATTTTCGGCCCTTTAAGTTTTGGCAGCCAGCTCCCACCTTCTGCAACTGCACTTTCCACCACATCCATGGGAAACTCTTCGTCCATCGCACTGCAGCGTCGATGCAGCTTAAGTTGTTCCTCAGTCGACCTCTTTGGCAGAAGCTCCTCCCGACAAACAACAAATCCTTTGCGATCTGCCTTACCCTTGTACTGAGAACATCAAATGTGTTCAGATCCGAATCCAACACAAGCTGCAATCCGGCACCTCCACCTCCTTCTTGAAGCCTGCGCATCTCTTTGCGCCGGCCACATCTATCAAAGGGCCCACGAAAGCAAAAGCCTTACCTGGAGGTCAACACAGAATGTCGCTATCGATTGAAGCATCACAACGCCTTGTTTCCACGAAATACTACTCTCCGCGAAGCAACCCTGGGCAGCGTACGTGGCGGCATCATCTGCCCATTCATCCGCCAACTCTTCCGTGGTCGTCACGAGGTTGAGATCGGAGTAGTGGTCCCCATGCAGGGGCAGCGATGTATTCAGTGTCAAATCTGGCAGTTCCAGGTCCTCCTTCAAGGCTTCGATGGCCTCGAGCTGCGGGGGGTTCTCGGAGAGCAGCTGGCAGAACTCGGCACCAGTCAAGCCTCCGGTTTGCACGATCTTCTCGATGCTTCCGGGGCCCGGTAGGGTCCTTGCTTGCTTCTTGCTTCCTCACACCATCTCACAATACAGGATGAAGCCCCTAAAGAGAAACGCCATAAAAAGCACATAGTAGTCGTCGTCGTAATCGTAATAATAGTAGTAGTCGTCGTCGTAGTAAAGGTACTAGTAGTAATAGCAGTCAACGTCGTCGTCGTCGTAGTATTAGTAGTTGTGGTGGTGATGGTGGTGGCGGCGGTGGTTGTGGTGGTGGTGCAAGGGTAATCATAGTAGCAGTAGTATTTTTTGTCAAGCGCAGTAGTAATATGTAGTAATAATAATTGTAGTAGTAGCAGTAGTAGTAGTAGTAGTAGTAGTAGTAATAGTAGTAGTAGGAATGGCAGTAGCAGCAGTAGTAGGAGTAGGAGTAGTAGTAGTAGTAGTAGTAGTAGTAATAATAATGATAATAATAGTGGTAGTAGTAGTTTTGTCACCTACCTGGCACGTCGTCGACAGCACTGGCAGTAGTAGCAGCAGGAATAGTAGCAGGAGCAGTAGTAGTAGTAGTAGTAGTAGTAGTAGTAGTAGAAATAGTAGTAGTAATACTATTACTTAATAATACAAATAGTAGTAATATTGGTAGTAGGAGTATTCATAAGCATCATAGTAATATGTTTTAATAATACTAGTAATGATTGCTAACGATTAATCGTTGTTGTTGCATGTTGTTGTGGTATGTATAGTGTTTGTCCTAAAACGAGTAATAACAATATGAATGTTCATGCTAGTAACAATAACAAAAGTATAACAAACATAGCCCCGAGCAGTGTTCCAGCAACTGTGTTTTGCATGAAGGGACTGGTCGTAATAATAATGGTCGTCGTCGACAACGTCGTCGCCGTGATGATGGTGGTTGTTGCTACCGTTGCTAGAAAAGCAATTACCGCGAGTTATGGTACCGCAGCGCAAACAATAATTGCGGCAGTGGCAATAGCGGCAATGGAACTAGCCGCACTGCGACTGGCAGCTGCAACACAGACACGGTGGCAGGCTAGCAGTACCCATGCCAACAGCAACAAATATGATCACAGCAGCAAAAAGGAGGCCCATTAAAGTATAGCAACAGCAACAACAGCCGCATCAGCAGCAGCTATGCATGTATTTGATGTTCTTGTTGTTGTGGGTTGTGGTTGTTCAAGATTAGAGGTAATATCGTGGTGTTGGGACACACAACAAACTTGCAACAATTGTTCCCTCAAAGCATACAGACGTCTCTGCTACGCGTCCATGCTAACCAACAACACAAAAGCTGAAGAACTCGAGAGTCAGCAGACTAACGCTCCGAATCTTCACACGTCGCGCAGCCAGGTGGGCAAATGCAGAAAGATGAGGGCAGTAAACCACCAGGTCGGGATAAATTTGCTGGAAGTACTTCAACAAAGCTGGCACGGCATGCCTCACATAGACTGCCTCAAGCATGGTCATGCGGTTTCCCTATGCTCAAACACATGTTTCGATGTGAAAATGTTCGCTTCTGTCGAATATAAGCAAATCAAGCAAGGACACACCATGAGATGTAAGACAATACGACTTATCGGCGCCGAAGGTTCCTCCATGCGCGAAATCAAAACATTTATAAAACTTGCCAAGCTGCACTGCACATCAGCAAAGCCGGTCCGAATTTGCTTGGCTCGAGGGAATCCCATGTCTCACTATCGGAACCTGGAGGGATTGCAAACCGCAATCTCACCGCATGTTCGTTTGAGACCTGCCCGCCTGCTTTGTGCAGCCCGAACATGTCCACGGATGGTGTCACGAATCTCCGAGAATCAACAAATGTCGATCCGGTGTCCTGCAATGCTTGCATCTCAAGTCTGACTACCATGGCGCTGGTTTCGTTTCACGCAACAGGGAGGGAGAGTTGTTGCGTTGACCTGTCCTCCACGGCTTCTCGGAAAGGAGGAAAACTCAAAAAATATACGGTCCAGCCCAGATTGACCAACCGACGCGCCAGCGGCAACGAGGGATTCGTATGACCACTGGCCATCGGAAACATAAATGCTGCAGTGGGAGACATGGGTCGAAGTGCGACCCACGCACAATTAATTTTTTACCGTTGATGCACCTTGTCCTGCTTCATCCTGCTTCCGTGCTTTCTAACGCATCTGACAAGTTGTTGTTTGCTCTGGCTCGGAAAAACGTGGAATTCACGGGTTTTGTCTAACGGGGCTGAGCCAGCCATATCAGCCATGCTGCGGCACCACCTGGCCCTCCGCCACACCCACACTAATTCTGCAGTCTTATACAGCTCCTCGATTGAGCAGGCCGGTCGCTGGGCAAGCGACCGTGGCCGCGGAGAACATGCGCAATCGGCATCGGAGCATGCTCATCTGTGGTGCGGGCGTCGTGGCTGGTGCGGCTGGTGTATGGCGGTTCGACGACTGGCGGAGCTCGACGCTCGCTCCGATGTCCGCGCCGCCCATGCGGCTGTTCTCCGTCTCGCAATCGCTTCGGTCACACCTTGCGTTTTGGCAGGCATTCGGGTCGGACGCCTCGCTGCGCTGCGCAATGGCCGTATTGTGCACGCTTGTCGTCGGCGTAAACTCGTCGGCAAAGTCCTGGCGCAGCACTTGGCGCCACACCTGCAAGAAGCATGCCTGCCCCATCCTCACCAGTTCGGCCTCCTAGCACCGGGGCTGTCAGCCGCCTTCCCCTGGGCACCCACACGTTGCTCGACGACGCGGCCCAGGCCCATGAAGTTCGTCAAAGGGAACTCAACTCGAACACCGTGAAGCAGCGTTCGCTTTCCTCGATGATACCTATACCATCGCGCCGCCTGACCCCGCAATAGGGAATGCAGCTGGGGAACAATGGGAAGAACCCCCGGGCATCGCTGATCACAGTTTTCAATTCCCCGCTCGGAAATGATGCCTTCGTCGCCGAGCAGCTCCAACGCAAACGGGCCGACCACGACAGCGCTTGACCCTCGTCGAAGACTTGCAAACCGCGTGGTTGCTGCTGCACTCTTGCGCTGCTCCTCGGGCAGATTTCCTGTGCTGCCCCCGCGCCTGATGGTGTCATTTGCCCATGCAGGCGCATGATGTGGCCATTGCGTGGTGCCTCACTGCATTGCTGGAGCCCGTTGACACACCGGGGTTGGGGTCCGCCGCCGCTGACCGCCACTCCCCCCACTCGGCCTCTTGGTGCGACACATCCCCCGTGAACCGCCACCAGGCTACAGCCGCTGCTGACCGCCTGCTGCGCGCACTCCAAAGCCATGTCCCTGCCGTGCGCTGCGCCGCCACGGGAGGCCGTTGGCGACGATCTCGATGCGCCGCAAGTCACCGACAGGCGCGTCGACGTTCATGTTGGCCAGGCGCACGTTCCGTGCGACCCGCCCGCCAGCTTCGCGGCACACTCGGGCGACTGAATGCTCGAGTGGAATGGCTCGCGTTGCAGCGCGCCGGAGGTGGCGCACACAGACCGACGGTCGCCGAGCGGGTCGAGCAGCCCGCGGCTGCGGCAGCCAGCCGCACGCGGCGAGGAGCAACACCCGGAAAAAGGCGCTCGGGATGGCGAGGTCGTATACCGCCTCGGTGATTACGAGCGGCAAGGGCCCAGCTTGCGACAGCAGTGCGCGGGATGCAGACGAAACGTTAGCAAGATGCACCTCACACATGCGCTCATCGCTTGCTCGGACGGCAACCCGCTGCCAACCCCGGAGTGGTCGGCGGCATGGCTCCCAGCCCATCTCGCCAGTTACGCGGCCACAGGAAACAAAGGTGGGATTGGGGTGTCCTGGAGTTACTGGTCGAGGGGTCCTTTAATTTTGGAAGGGAACAGAATGTAGCGTCGGCGAAAACCTGGTTTGTTTCTTTCGTTACACACAACACACCACCACCAGAGAAGAGTCCGTTAACGACCATGTGCCATGGTCAGAGCGTGAAACATGTTTACTTGCCAATTCATTCATGGTAACAAAGCACAGGGAGCAAGAAGCTGCGAAATGAGCAAGTAAAGCGAACATCACTTCAATGAAAGGTTGGCAAGTTCTACTTCCGAGGTGAACAACATGTACAACTACGATCAACTACGCAGCCTACGCAAGCAGCACTCACTGGCTTTCACAAGATGAAGGTGTTCAAGATTCACATGCCGCAGCGGCTTGGCAGACTTTTGCGACGTAGGCAATATTGCGTGCAATATCACACGCGCCGTTGATGCAAGGGTCGGTGCTGAGCCGGTGTTGCGAAAACGGGGCAGTGCCACCAAACTGTCGCATCCAGCGCTGGCGTGCGCTTTGATGTGCACTGCAGTGAAGCAATGCATGTTCAGGGGAATCGATGCCCACGGCACAAAAACGACATGGAGTTAAAGGGTCAGTCAGTATGATTGTGTCGAGCAGCAGAACGTCCATCCGAGAAGACATCGGGCAGACCCCAAGAACGAGCTCGCAATGGACACGTTTGTTGCCCGTAAACAACAGGGTGCAGGTGTGGCGCCGGCTGCCACTGCAAACTGCAACAGTGAGCCGGTGTTTTGGGCGACGGCCTGAAAATGAGCGAACGAATGATTGCAAATGACATTTTTTGCTTGCTGTAACCATCGGTGCATCACGGTACGTGGCGCATTGGGGGCAATGCCATAACACGAAGGGTCAGGCACTCCAATCTGCTGCAACTCAGTCTGAATGGCAGCAGTCCATGAGGAAGGTTGCGTAACAGCAAGAGTCACGGCTCCTCCCTCTAGGAAAGCGATCTCTCGCTGCTGCACCGCCTCGGCCATGGGTCGCCATGGCCTTGGAG